GCAAGGAGTTATTCCTGATCTAAGTGGCATACCTGAACTTGGCTATTTGTAAGTCCAGATCAAAACAAATGTTACACTTCCTTTTCATTCTTACTATTTTTGGCATCCTACTATCAGAGATTATCCTTTGTTTGTTACTCCATCTGTCCCATAATATAAGACAGTTTTTGACATTACATTGGTGTCTAAAAACGTCTTACATTATGGGACAGAGGGAGTAGTTCATAGCTTTGCCTAGAATATGTTTCTAGGTAAGTACCTTTCAGTGAGAAAATCACCCATCCTACTATATAGTTTGCCATTTTTTATTTAATTCTTTGGCTTTATTTTCTTTTTTTATTGTTGTTGTACTTTCACGTCATCGTAACGCCTTCTTCTAATATACAAAGACGCGCACTTAGGTGCGAGTCCGAGAAAAAAGATGTCGACGAGATTATTCTACATCTCTTCGCTAATTTTGGCATGCACTTTCAGAGATCTTAGCTGGAACCAACTGAGAGGATCTATAGCAGTTGATAGACTCGCTTCAAATATCACCACGATGTATGTTGCACTTTGTAAAATTTTATACTTTTTACAATAACCAGACTAACTTACAGTTTTTGACAGTATTTTATCGCATAACTTTCTTAATGGAACTATTCCGGCAAACTTCTCTGGGCTGCCTAATCTTCAGTTATTGTAAGTAACGTTTAACTTAGAGCACTGCTCCAATCCTCAATAATTGTGCTTTTCTGTAGTTCTAGCTAACCTTTCACGCCATTGAACATTAATGTTTTCCGTATTGAACTATAGATTGCCATGTTCTCTCTGCAGAACAACTAGCAAGTGAAAAAATAGGTTCGTGAAAACTGATACTCCCTCTGTTCACTTTTATAAGACCTTGAAGACATTTCAGACAATGTACAAAATAGCCCATTTGGAGTTGTCTGAAATGACTTACAAAAGTGAACGGAGGGAGTAGTAGTGTGTCCGTGTTTTATGGGTTTGTGGAGGTTTCTCCTTAGCTTGTGATCAAAACCTTTTGTCGCTTCCTTGTAAATTAACTTGCTTTTCTACTTAATAAAAAGATGAGCAATACTTTAGCACATTCTCTAAACATACTTACTTTATAGGTATAAGTATGTCGGACAGCACTAGTTTGCTACTTATTTTGTTAAAGATATATGAAGATGCCATTTTACAGGTCGTTTGAAGCGAACTGTCTCAACGGTGTTGTTCCATCTGCAATCTGTTTGTGATATGCATGCGTAATGTATTTTTTTTTAATAATGCAGGAACTTTGAAAGCAACTCCCTTGACACAATTCCAGCTGCATTTGAGCCTCCAAAAGCTGTCATTGTACTGTATGTTTTTTGTCATGGAAAATTTCCTTGTCAGTTTGCACTTCCTGCACAAGCATGCACATAGCTCAGGTTCAGCTGTATAATTTGTTGGGAATATGAATACAGGTTCATCTGTATCATTTCTTGGGAATATAAAAAAATAATTTCTATTACTACTGCATACAAAATATCTAATAATACGGACAAATAAAATATTGATCACAAGAGCTTTATAAATAAAATCATTCTCTTTCTGATATAACACATAATAGTTGCCATCATTATTCTGCAGGATTTCTGGAAACCCCGTATGTGACAATCCAGCTCGAGCAAAGGGACTTTGTCAACCCAAATCTGTAAATGAAGCACCGTCTGGACAGGGACCACAAGTTAATATAGATTGTGCTTCTTGCCCGACGGATAAAAATTATGAATACAATCCATTATCCCCTATACCTTGCATTTGTCTTGTGCCTCTCGAAGTTGGATTTCGGCTGAAGAGTCCGGGGATCTCAGACTTCCACTCCTACAAAAAAGCCTTTGAGATGGACTCAACCTCTCTATTGGACCTGAGTCTTTACCAGCTATATATTGAGCGGTACACATGGGAGGCTGGTCCAAGGCTGAATTTGCATTTGAAGTTATTCCCAAATAACACTAATTTATTCACTATGTCGGAAGTTATGCGGCTCAGGCAATTACTTGCTGGATGGGAAATTACTCTATCAGACATTTTTGGTCCATATGATCTTCTCAATTTCACGCTTGGTTCCTATGCAGATGGTATGTAGGATTTACTTTGCACCAAAGGATGTCATTCATACTTCTACCATATTCTGCCCCCATTTCTTTTAATATAAAAAATATACCATAGGGGATTCCCCTATTGTTTCTCCGTAAAAAAAATAGCTCTACCATATTCAACAAATAGTTGAGTGTGTGATCCTTGTGTATATTTATTTTGCCAAGACAGGCGACGAAATATCAGCAGAGCTTCTGTGGTTGTTTTATATGTTGGTAGAATTAGAAACTCATGAATTCTTAATTTGATTCTCCTAGCATATGGAATATTTGCTATTATAGTTCATATGAGTGTGTAGTCTTATATGTTAAAATATGATTAATTATTGCACACAATCGAATTTTTTTTTTGGTTATTTCTTTGTCTTCTTCCATCCTCTACGCCATGATATTTAGTGTGAATTTTTATAAGGTATTTTTTATAACATCACAATTTGAAAGTGGACCTACCCTTGTTCATATCCCTAGAATTTCTCAAAGACGGGTCCTCCGCGAGGGGCTCAGGCATGTAAGGGAGATTGGGGCTTTAGGAACCATACCCTAATATATGTTTCCTAGGGTTAATGGAAACCCAAACTCTCCTGAGAAATGGGAGGAACCCACCACAGAAATGAAAATTGCCAAGATTATAATATATTTTTCTTAGTCTAATATTCACCGCTGCATGTTTCATACTGATACTTTAATACTCCATCCAGTTTTATGATCCACTTGCTTATTGTTTTGCCGCCGTTTTTTATTTTCTTTTGTTGCAGAATTTCCAACACTGGTATCATCAGGTTTAAAAAAGGGTGCACTAGCTGGGATTTTGGCAGGAACAATTATTGCTGCTATTGCAGTTTCTGTGGTTTCCACATTTTTTATAATGAGAAGACGCTCAAAACATCGAACAGTTTCGAGGCCATCATGTAAGTCACCATATTTGTTTCAACAAACATAGTTTTCCATCTGCTGCACATAAAACCTTGTTGTCTAACAAATTAGAAATGCATTGCTGCTTTATCTGGTAACTAGTTGTTGAAATATATGGTCCGCCTCTCCATCAGTTCAGACTTTTAGAGCAACTGGCTGGAGCATGAATTCAATGTGGTATCCGAGTCAAGAGGTCTTGAATTCAAGACCCTGCCAACGCAACAACAAAACAACAACAAAGCCTTTAGTCCCAAACAAGTTGGGTTAGGCTAGAGATGAAACCCATCTCGCGACCACCTCATGGTTCTGGCACATGGATAGGCCAACACAGTATTAAAAAAAAGATTATGTGGCCTACATTGATCCCACGTCTAAGGACTAAAAAAGCCGACGTGATGGGGGGGGGGGGTGTTGAAATATATTGCCCGCCTCTCTCCATCAGATCAGGCTTCGGAGTAACTGGCTAGAGCATGAATTCAATACTAGTGACATATATAAGCAGTGTACTTTTAGTAGGAAGCTACTCTTTCAGTCTTTCTGTAATACTAGTAATTGGATTTAAACTGTGAATTTATCATATCAGTTCTTACTTGGCCTCATCCTAATACACGAGATCAGAGTTTTAGAGAGACAACATCTGATTTGTTTCAACTCTATAGCAACTAAACTTTAGAATTGAGTAGACACCAAATTCAATCTACAACATCTGAAGAGGTGATAATTTTCCAGTACTATTGAGGTTTTCTGTCAAGGTTGATGTTGTGAGATCCTTCACGTTTGAAGAAATGGCTACAGCAACAAATAATTTCGATGATTCAGCTGAAATTGGTGAGGGAGGTTATGGAAAAGTCTGTAAAGGAAATCTAGCTGATGGAGCAACCGTTGCAATCAAACGAGCACATGAACATTCTCTGCAAGGTTCAAATGAATTTTGCACAGAAATAGAATTGCTGTCAAGATTGCATCATCGTAATTTGGTATCTCTGATTGGATATTGTGATGAAGAAGTCGAACAGGTGTGTCTCAATTTTCGAATCATTTTACATATTTTATACTATAGTATTGAAATCCCCCCGCAACCCCATACACATTATGTTACAAAAATATATTGGTAATGTTATACTCCCTGTTGTACTAAATCAACGACAATTAATATGGATCGAAGAGAGTACTAAACATGCTTATGATTAGGGTTTTCCAGTTACCTCAGGTTTGCAAATCTATAATATATGGAAGAGTATCTGCAGACTACAGTAATTTTTGCTCATAGATAATTATATTTTGCAGATGCTGGTGTATGAATTCATGCCAAATGGCACTCTACGTGATCATCTTTCTGGTGAGTAAGCGGGAAGTTGCACATTTTCAAGTTTTCTTACTCCTTCCGATTCAAATTAATTGTCGCAGCTCTAGTACAACTTTAGCACAAGTTACAATTAATTTGGGTCGGAGGGAGTAACTTATTTTCTCCCCATATAGCCATCTTTGTGTATGTTGAAGTCGATCATGATCCCAGCCCGTCTCCCAGAATTTATAATTCTTGTGTTTAGCAGTGATGTGTGTTGGTATACTATGTTCTTTTGTTTGATCATCGATAAAATCAAAGTGTGTAATTCTTGAACTTGTGTTGGATGTCAAGCACCTAATCTCATTTAACACTTTCCGCAGCAACTTGTAAAAGACCTCTTAACTTTGTTCAGCGGTTGCATATTGCGTTGGGCGCTGCAAAGGGAATCCTCTATCTACACACCGAGGCAGATCCTCCTATATTTCACCGTGATGTTAAGACCACCAACATTCTACTGGACTCCAAGTTCGTAGCGAAAGTGGCCGACTTTGGTCTTTCAAAGCTTGCTCCGATCCCGGATGTTGAAGGAACATTGCCAGAACATATCTCCACTGTTGTTAAGGGCACTCCAGTAAGTCTTATTACACCTAACAATGTAGCAAGATCTGCACCCACTATGATCTAATTACTGATGTTCCATGCAATACAATAGGAAATAGCCGAGCCTACTACTTATTCAACTTTTACTGTGCTAGTTGGGCTCATCTTATCCATCATGTTTCTTTTGGCAGGGCTATCTTGATCCAGAATACTTCCTAACTAATAAATTGACAGAAAAAAGCGATGTTTATAGCTTTGGTGTTGTGCTGCTTGAACTATTGACCGGGATGAAGCCAATCCAGTTCGGTAAAAACATCGTTAGAGAGGTACGGAGGTTCCCACCCTGACCCGTATCTAAATTTACAGTTCAATCAACTGTTTGCAGGTCACAAACAGGGTAGATAGTACTCCATCCGTACACTAATATAAGAGCGTTTAGATCACTATAGTAGTGATCTAAACGCTCTTATATTAGTTTACAGAGGGAGTATAGTGATCTAACTGCTCTTATATTTGTGTACGGAGGGAGTACTAAATCTTTGCTTTCGAGTCTTTTTTGACAGTTCAGTAAGAGTGTTATTAATTCAGTAGAACTTTACTGCTGAACTATTTAACCTGATCCTCAATGTAGGTAAAGGCGGCTTACCAATCAGGAGACGTTTCCGGAATCATCGACAGCCGAATGTCGTGGTGCCCTCGAGAATTCGCCACGAAGTTCCTCTCACTGGCCCTGAAGTGCTGCCAGGACGAGAGCGACGCGAGGCCTTACATGGCCAACATCGTCAGGGAACTCGACGACATCCGTAGCGCTCTGCCTGAAGGAGAAGATCTCCTGTCTGTGACCTCCATGGAGACGGGCTCCTTGGCCACCCTAACTCAATCTACATCGAACTCCTTCATAACGACCACCGGAGAGCATTTCGACTCGTCCCATGCCTCCGGCAGCGGGCTTATGGACAACAGCGTCCCTTCCAGGATGTCGGTGACTCCTCGTTAGTGCTGTCGCGCTCTTTGCATTGTAAATGGGTGTGGAGGACAGTTCCTGCCGGGCGATTTCTTCTTATGTACATGTTGAAATGGGTGTGTTGTTGTTGATGATGTGTGTGTGTGTTTGATGATCAGGGGTTTGACTATCATGGGAGGTGTATTTGGCAGACACTGTTGGCGAGTGCAAAATGATGAATGCTAACTGGGGTAATTCTTTTCAGCTAAGGTTATATTGGCTGGAAACTCAATTGATTTTTCGGAGGCCTGGCTAACCATATTGGTTACATTTACACTGTAACATTGAGGCTGACAAAAATGAACACCCAAAACAGCTTACCTTGTAAAACTGCAAACCCAGAGTCTGCATACCAACACTTGAAAGTTAATATATAGGCTAAGGGCAAATACTGTATATATCAGCTTCTCAAACTATTTCCACGAGAAAATCAAACCAATTCCACTCGAGCTAAACTACTCTCAGGAGGAGGTCGACAAGACCGCGATAACCAACGCATACTGCTTTTTACACTAAGGCAAACTTCTCAGACCCCAACTCCTGTCGGCTAAACAACATCTCGTGTCACCCAGACATGTCGAAGCTTTCGCCCGTCCGGTACTGGAAGAACTGGTCGATTCCTGCAAAAAAATCAACATCATATCAGATTCAGTAGGCCTCCATAGAGCTATACTGTCTACTGAAGAAATGGTGTTTCCTGAACATACTTGGATTCGACATAACGTTCTCGTAGAAGGACATCTGGCCCAGACCGCCCGACGGTCTCGGGCCATTGTCATTGCTGGACCCATACATCGGACCGCGGACCTGCTCACGCTCTGCTGCGTCAAAGTGACGGTGCATCTCCGAGATCCTCTCGGGGTTGTGAGCTCTCACAGCCATGCCCTGCTGCTGTGACCCGTCTGATCTAGGCTTCTTGTCGGTCGGGGAATCCTCGTCTCCCTCGGCCTCCGATTCGGTGTTACTTGGTAGAGAAGAGGCTGCCTGCTTCCGCTTCGAGCGTGCACGTCTGTTCTGGAACCAGTTGTAGACATTGGTCTCTGAAATCTGTCCGTGCTGCGAGAGCTCGGCTGTGATATCCTTTATCTTTTGCTTGCTTGGTGTTCCATTTCCTTGGTCAAAAATGCTCTCGAGGATCTGCAGCTGCATCTGGGTCGGTGTCCATCGCTGCCTCGCTGTGATCTTGTGGCCTCCGTGAACCATTAGAGGATCACAGTACAGATTACCAAGCCTCATACCTGAAAACAGAAGTGAAATCTTAGTTTTGACTACAGAAAAAACTAACTGTTGTTGGGAAACTAACTGTTCTATCGACAACACCAGTAGAATAGACCAAACCAAAAAATTGAGAATGGGCAGACCCGCACACTGTGTTTCAGGAGCATATCTAAAATAACTCTTGTCACAGGTCTCTGTTTTCAGAGTTTACCATAAAGCACAATCTTTTAGTGGTACTAGATGAATTATTAAAAAAAACTAGGATGGTAGAAAAAATATTGCAAGGCTGTCAGGAAGTTCACAGATGTTGCTAACTGGAAAGAAGAAAAACATGCTTAAGTTTTGAAGGAATCTAGTTAGTTGACTTGAGAATAAAGTATCAACTAATGTTTCACTGCGATATGGACAAGTGTGCAAATCGTATGTGAGTGATAAAATTATTGGAGTGGCAGAATAAGAATTAGTGTTGGGCCCAGTAGAAAGATAATAAGTAACATGCTATCAGATTCCTGCATGTCAAGCTTACATTCTATAGAATGGCAGAAGATCGCGGAACAAAATGGTGGAGCACATGGGAACATGGCACAAATCATAAATGGCCACATGACAATCTTGGGTCCCTATTTCATTTATTTTGCAGCGTTTAAGGTCCTCTCTGGATCTTAATGTAATGTTCCCACAGTGCCACTGACAAAACTTAACACATACTGCCCACGCCCCATGGTGACTGATCATACAGTTTTGTACAGTGTGGCATAAACCACAAGGTCATAGCCATGAATATAACCTAGAGCAAATAAATTCTTCCAGTGCATGGAGTGAGCCCAGCCTGTTGTTAACTTCATAACAAGTCATCAAATTGATGATCTGGCACTTTCTTGTACTATTTACGCAAATAACTGAAGAATTTATACTTTCACAGGGAGCATGGAAATAACAAATGCAAAGAGTATGGTTTCGCAACAAGCTGTGCGGTAAATTCTTCAGTTATTTAGGCAAGAAAAAGCTGGCAAAGCCAGTTAGTAAGACCTCAGAAAACAGAATTAATTACAAATACAATGCAGTGCTGTAGTTGTAAGAGGGGCAAAGAAGCTAAGAGCCCTGCCCTCTCGACGGCTAGTCTTAGTTGGCAGCTGTGTTCTTTGCCCTTTTCGTTCTTCTTTCTTGCAGTTATGTATTTATAGTAGGGTTTTTCGTAGTTGAGCTTTTGCTCTTGTTGGTCTGCGCCACCAAATGGAGTGTTGCTTGCAAGTTACAATTTAGGTTAGTAAGGGAATGCTTTCAATGGCCTGACAACACAATCTCTCAAATGTCTTGTTACACTAATCAAGAGGATGTCTGTAGCTATCTTCAGGAGTGATGAGTATGCTAAGCAAATAAGACACATTAACAGTACCCTGCATAATTAATGATAGAAAACGACACACCATGAACCACATCTTACTACCGGTCGGTCCCTTGCATTAGCGTCACAGTCATCAACCGATCTACTTATAACAACAACAAAATAATCTCAAAGAATGATGCATAGCCGCAACTAAGCACCTACTTAGCATGGACAAAGTGAAATGGTACTGTCATGTGTCACCACCAGTCAAAAACAACTGACTGAACAATGATATGAACATTAACAAGAACAGCAATGGAATGTGTGGGACTTGCTCATGCATGAACTGACAAACAGCTAAAAGCAGTATTCTCACCGAGAAAATTGGTGAAATGGATAAAAAGATCCTAATCATACTACTCATTCCATCAGCAAATAACAAAGTATGGTACTTCTACAGATCCGACAAAGCCCACAACATCTGAATTTTATTCAGAAAGAAACAAGGCTGCGCCCTTAAAAGAAAAGAACAGCACTTGAGAGAGAGAGAGACTTTTACTCGCTTTATTTACGCAGAAAGAAAAGAGTAGATGGAGCCGTCAAGCATGTGCGTGCAGTTGGGTACCTGCAATGGAGTCCTGGTGCGCGGTGAGGGCGCGGTGCATCTCGACGAGCTGCTCGCAGATGGTGGCGTAGATGGAGATCTGCTTCCGGAGCACCTCCATCTGCTCGTCCGTCATCACCTTGACGTACCCCAGCGCCTCGCCCCTCTCCTCCGCCGGCTCGCCGGCCACCGCCGCCGCCGCCGCCGCGGCGGAGGCCTTGTCCCACTCCATGGTCAGCCCGCTCACTCGCAAAAAAAGGAGGCACACAGGCTGGCTCTGGGGAGGAAAGAGGCAGGAAGGATGGGATTTTTGGAAAGAAAGAAAAGGACGGGATCCTGGTGCCGTGGAAACGGAAGGAAATCCGCTCGGCCGATTCCGAATCCCGGCTGCGGCGGGGCGGTGGAGGCTCGCGAAAGGAAAGAGCAAGATGGATACGGCGCCTTTCCCAGTTTTCCTCCAGCCGTCTGGGGTATGTGCGTACGTGATTGTTGGGAACGAAGTGTGCTGCCGGAGAACTTTGGCGGAGGCGCGGGTGGGGCTCGGGGACGGGGCCGGAGGTGCTGGCGGAGGCAGCTCTGGGGCCGGCGCGGGTGGAGCTCGGGGGGCGGGGCGTGGGGCGCAGGATTGTGGGTGGGCGCGGGCCGGAGTTTGGGCTCGGGGTGGAGCCGCCGGAAGGAAACAGGTCTGCAAGAAGAAGTGCGAGGGAATGGAGAAAGAAGAAGAGGTGTCTGCGACAGAGGAGCCGAAGAAGAAGAAGAAGGGGCAGAAAAAAAAGCCGACAGCTCGTGCCAAGGCTTGCAGCTTTGGATTGGGAAAAGCTGGACAGAGAAACCAGGCAGGGAACTATACTCTAGTAGTACTACTCTGGCTCTCTCTCTCTCTCCCTGGCTATTTTGTCTTGGAGGTAGTGGCACTGGCTCAGGCTCAGCACTCACTCGCCTCCTCGCAGTGCTGCCGCTGGCTTCAAGAACGCCATGGCCATCCCATGCACGGCCGAGAGAATTAATTTGATTTAATTTCTACTGGTGTTTCTTCAGCTTAATTTGCTCTGCCGGTTCTTGCCTGGTCAAGGCAAGATGTAGGTGGGGAGATAAAAGACGGTTTCCATTTCAAATGAGGTGTGTGTGTCAGTGGATAGGGGAAGGGGGGAGGAGGAGGAGTAGAAGGGAAGCGTGGAGAGGAGTGCGTGAAGGGAGGGGAAGGAAGAATGATGATGGCGTGGGCATGTGGATGTGTGGGGGGACGAACGAAAAAGCTCACGACCAAGACGACTCCACTCCACTCCACTCGCCGGCCGCTGTTGCTTGTCTCGCTCGCCTCCATTATTTATACTCGTACATACGTGTTCGTATATTTACTGGTACCGATTATTCTTGTAGTGTAGCGCCGGACGAAACGCGCCCGTTAGGCCGAATGGGCTTGCGCATTTCCGCGTCGAGTTAAAACGCATCATATTCCGATCGGTGTGTTCGTCAACGCCGGCGGAGAATATTAGCCGCGTGCGTGCATGGCCACGTACGTGGTGCAGTCGAGTTAAAACGCATCATAGTCTGGATTCTGCCATTTGGGTCAGGCTGGTCACAATGGGCAAGAACATAGTCTACTAACTTACACACTTCCCTAGACTACTACCTTCACAGTGGGTAGGAACATCTATGTAGTGCCATACAACAATGTATTTATTAGGTTATATACTCATTGTTTCTTGGAGTGTGTGATGTTCCGGTAACTTAGGCTGATCACAATGGGGAGGAACTTAGGAGTAACATCACACACTCCAATATAACTTTGTTTATGTGGCACATATTTAATGAAGAGAGAGGTGCTTGTGGTAACTAGCTAAGTTACCGGAACATCACACACTCCAAGAAACAATGAGTCTATAACCTAATAAATACATCTTTGCATGATACTATATAGATGTTCCTACCCACTGTGAAGGTAGTAACATAGTCTAGGGAAGTGTGTAAGTTACTAGCTTATGTTCTTGCCCATTGTGACCAGCCTTAGCTAGTTACCGCAAGCACATCTCTCTTCATTAAATATGTGACACATAAGCAAAGTTGTATTGGAGTGTGTGATGTTACTCCTAAGTTCCTCCCCATTGTGACCAGCCTCAGTCAAAGGGGTCTTGTCCGGCAGGCAATGCGCCCAACCGACGAATGCATTTCGTCCAACCGACTTATTTTTCATGCATATATCTTTAAACTAAAAACAAACTATGCATATTTACAACCAAATAAAAATCACATAGTACCACAAATAATAAATACTTCCTTCGTTCCTAAATACAAGTCTTTTTAGACATTTCAAATAGACTACAACATACGGATATATGTAGACGTATTTTAGAGTGTAGGTTCAATGTAGTCACTTATAGAATCTCTAAAAAAAGACTTATTTCAAAATGGGGGGAGTATTTCACAACTAAATAAAGTCATAAAGTTTACAATCAAATTGAAGTTGTCACAAATACATCGAAAGGAATTGAACCGATACATCTAGTGGTTGCCAAGGTGAATCAACATGTGCTCAAACCAGATCATCTTGAAGTTGAATGTGAGTTTGTCAATCACGCATTTCATGATGAAATTGGATGAACGGGCCAAACGTTGTCGGTTCTTGATGCTCGGGCACAACATTTTTACCCTAAAATTCAAACCCTTAGTCGTAGATGTTGTCGTCGAATAATGTTCATAGATAATATGATCATAAATTCATAATTCATCGGATCTCAACAAACACACCGCAAAAGAATATTACATCGGATAGAACTCCAAGAACATCGAGGAGAACATGGCATTGAAGATCATAGAGAGAGAAGTAGCCATCTAGCTACTAGCTATGGACACGTAGGTTTGTGGTAAACTACTCACGCTTCATCGGAAGGGCAATAGAGTTGATATAGATGCCCTCCATGATCGAATCCCCCTCCGATAGGATGCCGGAAAAGGCTCCAACATGGGATCTCACGGAAACAGAGGCTTGCGACGGTGGAAAAGTATTTTGATGGACGCTTCTGGTCGTTTGGGAATATTTAGGAATTTATAGAGCAAAAATATGATTGGAGGAGTTCCATGGGGCCCATAAGTCAGGGG